AGTATTTGGAGCCCCGCCGGACCGTCGCATTTCAGCCTCGGATGCCGGCGCGATGCCTCTGTTCACAGCCAACCCGTTCGATCATGACGTGGGTGAGTACGGTGACCTGCGCCGTCCGCGCCGGGGAAAGTGGGCGGCGGTCCTGGTGCCTGAGAAGCCAGGCGGAGAGCGAAGGGGCGGTGCAGCTCTCGACAGCGGGGGGCAGCCTCGGAGCGTCTCTGGCCAGGCTACCTCCTACCTGTCAGAGATTGGGGTACCTATCAGGGCTGTTCTCGTCACCCAGAGCAGGAGTGGGGAAAAGGCAGGATCGCTGGAGGCTCAAGTTGCTGATACAAACTTCCTGATTTCTCCAGAGCTGGTTAACACCCTTCCCCTTGGAAGAAAGTGCAGTGGTGGCCATCCTGCTGCCTAGGGTAGTCCCGAACCAGAAACCTAGACTCACCAGGCTTAACTCACATCGCTTCCGTATAAACACATTCAAGCTCTGATGGTTGCATTTTCAATGTTTACTGACGTTCTGAATGTGCTGCGAGAGCCAGTCTCAGAGAATGAAAAGGAAGACTCTCAGGATCTCTAATTAGCCCAGAACAACTGATGTTTGTTGGAGTCAAACTTCTGGTTATTCTGGTAGTATAGGTCTTTCAGAATTAGGAAAAGATGGATGGAGTAAGCATAATATTAACAGTAAAAGCAAACGGGCTGGCAGTATTCTTGAAGCAGTAGTTAACAGGCTCCTAGCGACATTTTAGGATTTAAGTGATTTTGAGTCAAAATGTTACATATTTTAGCAGTGAGCTACCAGTTCAGTTACAATTCCTTAGTGAAGAGAAGTCTAGAAAGTGCCTCATTTTGTTCTACAACTCTCACAAGTCATGTTCAAGTGTATGGGAGACTAATTATATAGGAAGCATGTTGAGGCTTAGTCGCTGATTTGGGATAATTGTTCTTTTATTACATTACCTACGTGAGGCATTGCACTTTTTAATTTTTATTGAATTAATTTAACTTTCACAGTGAGTCTGTATATAGTCCAAGCTGGCTTCAAATTCCCAAAACCTCTGTTTTAGCATCGAGAATTCTGGGATTCCAAGTCTGGGCCTCCACTAGGCTTGAGACCTGCATGTCTTACTGTAAAAGCTTTCATTTTGCTGTAATGAAATGAATCAGAAAAGGCAAAACAGAGGAGGCTATTTTATTTTTTCTTTTATTTATGTGCATGGGTGTTTTTTCTGTATGCTAAGTTTGTCACTTGTTTGTTGTGTCTGAGGAGGTCAGAAGATCATGTTGGATCACCTGGCATTGCTGTTACAGAGTCGGATGAGCCACCATATGAACTGAGCCATCTCTCCAGCCCAAGACAGGGTATTTAAAATATAAAACCTGTGAACTCTTTCTTCTAGGAAATAGTTCATGGAAGCCTGTTGTGTTCTTATTGCAAACATTTCTGGTAGCAGTAGTCTGAGTTACTCTGCCCAGTTTATGTTTCTAAACTTTTCCCTCAGTGGTTTCTGAAATCCTTGCATCATAGTTTAGTGTAGATTTCTTAGGCTCTGATCTTCAGACAGAAACAAACAAACAAACAACCTGTGTAGATATATCATGGGCTATGTCAACTAGAACTTGAA